TATATCAGAGAATACGCATTATAAAAACGATTATATTGTTAGGCGATCAGTTCCAAGCCCTAATCGAAAATAGTTTTACATTTTTGTAATGGGATATAAGAGTTAAAACAATGGGAGTAGGCGCAAAACTTCCTCTTTAAATTTTTAGAAAATATTTCATAATTTTTATATCAGAGAATACACATTATAAAAACGATTTTATTGTTAGGCGATCAGTTCCAAGCAATAATCGAAAATAGTTTTACATTTTTCTAATAGTTCTCTGGAGAATAGAAATTGTTGCCAAATTTCTGTGCTTACTCAATTCCTTAAAACATATGCCAATTTATTGTTACCGGATTTATTGAAATAATTCAATTGACGACTATTGAACCATTTCATAAAAATAGGCAAACATATTTTTAGTGTTTCATGAAATGGAAAGGCAAACATATTGTTAAATTTATATATTTATTATGTTTATTATTCATGTTTATTCTATTCCTTTTTAATTTCCACATGAAATTTAACAGTAAACTAAGAACTTGTTGATTGATTGAAGCCTATTAGAAGGGGCACACAATGCTAAACGCTTACTGTGGTGCATGAATAATTTATTAGAGAAAGGGGAAAAATCCATTTTCCATCAGTGGGAAAAATGCAGCCAAAGGGCATGCAAGGTTCGACACACTCCCATGTAATACATTCGTGGAGCGTTTGTGTTTTATTTTGGTTTATGTTTTTAATAAATATCGTCTGTTTTTATGAATGGTTACCTGCAGCGGTCGTTGGCACCATTGCGGCTTTCACTCTAATAACTAACGTGTACGCCAACAAAAATAGAATATAATAAAATTAAATGAAATATGAAGTGTAAACAAGCGAGTGCATAAAATAAATCAAATTGTATATAAAATTCACTTCATGTTCGTTGTTTGTACAAACATATATGCTATATGCATACTATCTAGTTTCATTCAGGCTGCGATTTTATTAATAAAGCATCAAAGGGCATTTTAATTACAGAGTTTTGGGTGCCATAAGCCGAGGTTTAGGTATAGGTTTGTTTTAAGAACAGCAGTTCGTTGAAAAGCAATAGATGGAGGAGAAGAGGGCGCGAACTAATGGGGAATTGCTGGGAACAGACAATTATTTTTAAACGCGCCAATAGTATAGTAGCTTTGTAATGTTTCTATCTTTATACACAACACAATTATAAAGGTCCAGTATTAAATAAAGCTATTGAAAGGTTTGAGAAATTGCCATTTCATTCTTGAGTTCGCTTCGGATTTTTAATGCTCAGAAAGGAACACTAAAAAAACTTTTAGGTTATACTAATCATCAAATTTAAGAGATTGAAACAAGCTTTTCAGAATATTGGGCGTACATACAGCTCTTTATCAATATTATTTAGAGAAAGCAAATCACAATCAAAGCGCTAGTCCACAACCCCACATACAACACTCACAGTTTTTATTGTGGGACTAAAAACTAATTTGTTTATACAAGTTCTTAACAATTGAAGCGAAGTTATATGTAGGTCGGCATTGCTTAAATAACATCTAAATATTAACATTTTAAACCAATATGCTAGGATACATTATTGATGGAATGCCTGAACAAATGTGGCATTCTTTGGAGTTTTGTATTATTTTCAAAACAAGCACATCTATTTAAGGAAATGATAAATTAAGTTAAAATTATAATTTTGATAAACTTGTGTTTGATTTCTTGACTATTTTTGTTGTTGCTAGCAGGGTCTGCTATTCGCTGATTGGAACTCAATTATTGGAACACAATTAGGATGCGCTTTTAACAACTTTTTGCTTCACAAATACTACAGCAACTGAAATGCAGATTCCAATTGGCGATAGTAGCGGGTGAGTCGAGGAGCTCATGTGCTGGGCCTCTGTGATTGAGGTGAGAGCTTATAAGTATTATAAGTATTATATTGGGTGTTTTGTACGACTGTGGGAAATGTTGAAGCCCTATCTAATGGGATTCCAAACTAGTAGTGTCTTGCGACAATAAAGAGTTTCTATCTGGCGTTAATAATTTTTCGAATGAATTGTTTGGCCCATCTCACCCATTTTGGAGGCAAGCTGCCTTCATTGCAATGGAAAACATCCTGTCTATTCATAGATGCTGATACATTTGGCAGATGTCAACAAATAGGCAATAAAACGACTCGCGCCCATTTGAAGCCGTCGAACGTCTTATACTGAGCACATACTGGAGCAAATGTGCTTCCTTCGTTTATATTTTCGTCCAAGGAATTTGTAATACTATACTATGTACATACACTATTTGCTTTAACTGCTGGCAGTGCAGCTAAGTGCCGCCGTTTGACCATTTTCCTTAATAGATTCGCCAAGGGAAGGAGGCCAAGACGACAAAGCAGGCAGAAGGCAGCAGGCAGCAGGAGGAGCAATAAAAACAAGCTAGCAATACATTTTGTGCAAAAATATTTATGTTTTTATGCAACAAAATGCATTAACTCAACTCTGGAATTTCAAATGTCTGGCAATAGCAGTAGTGGAAAGCAAAAACCAAACCAGACTGCACAGTAGTTTAGAGCTTCAAGCTCCATTCTCTTCTGTGACGAAAAATGGCAGAACATTAAAAGGATTAAATTTGCTCGAAATATAATATTTATTTTCATATTTGTCAACCAACAAAAGTCATTTATATGGTGCTTAAGCTTACTTTTTCTTGAAAAACCTTTGAAGATTTGTTGGCGCGCAAAGGCAGCACCGACATTCCACTAACTTGTTTTTGTGAATTTGCCAAGTTTTTTTTTATTAATGAATTAATCAAGTTAATAATCAAATAAATAATGAACTAAATAATCAACTAAATAATTAACTAAATAATCAAATAAATAATCAAATAAATAATCAAATAAATAATCAACTAAATAATCAAATAAATAATCCAATAAATAATCAACTAAATAATCAAATAAATAATCCAATAATAATCAATTAAATAATCAACTAAATAATCAACTAAATAATCAAATACATAATCAAATAAATAATCAACTAAATAATCAACTAAATAATCAAATAAATAATCAAATAAAAAATCAAATAAATAATCAATAAATAATCAAATAATAATCAAATAAATATCAAATAAATAATCAAATAAATAATCAATAATAATCAAATAAATAATCAATAAATAATCAAATAAATAATCAAATAAATAATCAAATAAATAATCAAATAAATAATCAAATAAATAATCAAATAAATAATCAAATAATAATCAAATAAATAATCAAATAAATAATCAAATAAATAATCAAATAAATAATCAAATAAATAATCAAATAAATAAATCAAATAAATAATCAAATAAATAATCAAATAAATAATCAAATAAATAATCAAATAAATAATCAAATAAATAATCAAATAAATAATCAAATAAATAATCAAATAAATAATCAAATAAATAATCAAATAAATAATCAAATAAATAATCAAATAAATAATCAAATAAATAATCAAATAAATAATCAAATAAATAATCAAATAAATAATCAACTAAATAATCAAATACATAATCAAATACATAATCAAATACATAATCAAATAAATAATCAACTAAATAATCAACTAAATAATCAAATAAATATTCAAATAAATAATCAAATAAATAATCAAATAAATAATCAAATAAATAATCAAATAAATAATCAAATAAATAATCAAATAAATAATCAAATAAATAATCAAATAAATAATCAAATAAATAATCCAATAAATAATCAAATAAATAATCAAATAAATAATTAACTAAATAATCAGTTAAATCATATATACTAAGAAGTTATAAAATAAAAATGAAAATTTTCAAAAATAAATAAAGTGTTCTTCATTTTGTTCAATATAATTTATTATAATTTATTTACTTCAAAAAGTACCGTAAGCTTTCTTAGTCAAATTCTAGAAAAACGTCTCTTAGGGTAAATAATCGTAATATTTTCCAAGTGTCTGCTAAATACTGCATTAAATACTTAATTATATTCAAAGTGATTGTTTTGAGCTACAACTTCTAATTTTTATTTTAATTTCCAGTTTGATATTTTTTGTTTTCCAAAAATTTGTTTTTTTTTTTATTTATTTATTTAAATGGCAACACTTTTTTAGTTTAGCAGAAGAGTTGTTCAAAATACAATGATGTGTATATTTTTTGTTTTCCAAAAATTGTGTTTTTTTTATATTTATTTATTTGAATGGCAAAACTTTTATAGTTTAGCAGAAGAGTTGTTCAAAATACAATGATGTGTATAATGTTTATCTCACTTAATAGGGGAGCAATATATTTGAAAAGTCAAACGGCACAGCATGTGGCTGTACTGCTCAGACGTGATGTGCTGATTTACTTATGTTTTGTGCACTCGGATGCGTGATCTGTCACACTGTGAATTGGCAGTCCAGTATTTATAGAAGTTATAGAAATGTTGTTGTGTCTTGTTCTAGTTGTTGTTGTTGTTGTTGACCGACCGACCGACCGCTTTTGTATGCAAGTGTCGGTCAGTTGCGGTTTATTTGTACATATATATATGTATGTGTGTGTGTGTGCAAGAAATGCTTTTCAACTTGCCTTGCAAAACATTTTACATTCGATGACGTTTTCATTGCAAGATGCAACGTCAACAATAATACAGTGGCACAAACACAAACACACACATATATGCACATTCACAAAAATTGAAGAGCCAAAAATACATGTACTACTATATGCTATATGTATGTATGTATGTATATAGATGTATGCACAACTTCATCGGTTTCGCTAGGAAAAAAGCATGAATGAATGGATGGCTTGCATTTGCTTCGTTACGTTTCATTTCAGTGCGTGTTGCTGTTGCTGTTGTTGTTGTTGTTGTTGTTGTTAGTGTTGTTAGTGTTGCTGCTTCAGCTCAGTGGCCCTGCTCGTATCCGTACCAGTACCCATGCCCGTGTCCGTACCCCTCCCTCTCCCCAACAGTTGCATATTTCACTTACCGGAACTACAAAGCAGAACGATTGCTGAGCAAGCGATAAATCCTAAAGAGGAGAAGCAGAATGTGTGCTGCACTGGCGACGGCATGTCTGGCTCTCAGACTGATGGACTTATGGACTGAGTGGCGCCACCGCCACTTCCACTTCCCCTTCCACTCCCACTTCCACGGTCACTGCCACTTCGGTTGCTTCCACTTTGGCAGGCAAATATGTTTAGTCGTTCGATCGCCTGTTCTCCAGCTCTGCTTAACTGACAATGTCGTTACTTTTTTGGGTTCAGGTTCGGGGTTGTAATCTGAGTCTCAGTCTCACTCTGAGGCTGTGGCTGCGACTCTGGCTGCAACTGTGACTGCTGATTGTGCTCAGTCGTTCAAGTCGCAGCTGGGCTGTACAAACATTGTTGCAGCATTGCACTTGGCTTTGGTATTTAAACGCTCCTGCCTCTTGCCTCTTGCCTGCAGTTCTCCTGGCCGAACAGTTGTCAAGTCGTTTGAAAACAGCTTAGGAAGTGGCGCGCGCTTTTTGGCTTTTGGTTTTCGTTTTAGATTTGGATTTGGATTTAGATTTTGTTTTCACTTTTGCTTAAAGGCCGGCAGGCTATGCTGTTGGTGCTGGCCACTGGCCATCTTGCCACACTGCCATGTTGCTGGCTCCAACAACAACAATCTCCAAAAAAAATAACAAAAAAAATGGGGGGAAGGGAGAAAACAATGGCTGTGTGGATTTCTGGACTTTTTTATTGTCTTTGCTCAGCGTATTGTCTTTTTTAGCATTTGTCACAGCTTTTTCGGCTTGTCACAATTTCTTCTGGCTTGCTTCTGCTGCTGCTGCTGTTGTTGTTGTTGTTGCTGTTGCTGTTGATTCTGTTGTTTGGAAGGAATAGGAAGAGCAGCATACGGACGTGTTAAAACTTTGCCACTCTGCACATGCAAATTTTTAATTTCCGTTGCTTTCTTTGATGTGGACACAAGTTGCATTCGTCATTTCCGTCATTGGCGATTTTTGCCGCAGAGCGCACAAAAAACCGAAATCGAAAAACAAGGAAAAGAAAAAAGAAATGCAAAAAAGAAACCAAAAAATTCACTAGAGAAATAACAACAATGCAGCAGCTGTAAAAACAGCAACAAGAGCTATACGTTTGCCACAACAATGACAAGAAACATGCTAAAAAATGGCGCTCTTTTTTTTGTTTTTTTTGTTTTTTGTTTGTATATTTGAAGTGCTTGTTGTTGCCGCTTTCACCCGCGCTTTTGCACTTTGCACTTCGGACTTTGATTTGCATTTGTGTTGTACACTAGTACATGCATATTTGTTTATTATTAAATCCCAATCGAGCAAATCAGAGTAAAATTAACATAATGTGAAGTGAGTTGGAAATTGTGAAAATAGTAATAAATAGTACTGTGTGTACACAGAGAAGCCACAATCCATGTGTGTGTGCTGTATAGTACACATTTTTAATTAACATGCCATTTAATGTAATTCAATTATTAATTATCAACATCAATGGTCCAACAAGGCTTATCGCTTTTCAAATTGCGCGCGCCTACGGTTTTAAATTGCTCGTTCACTTCAATTGCCGCGCCACGCGTCCGTTTATCTCTGAATCCGCATTTAAACTGAATTGTCATTGCTATCAGCGCCAAAGGATATGCAGCGCTTTGCCTTTTGCTGCTGCTGTTGCTGTTGCTGCTGCTTCTGCTTCTGCTGCCACTGCCGGTCGTCGTAGTAGTCGCAGTCGTCGTTGTCGCAGCCGCATTACCAGCAGCAGCAGTAATGTAACAGCAACAGCAACAACAACAGCACTGGCACTGCCACTGGCACTAGCACTAGCAGCTGTTGTGTTGTGCCGGCCTCACAACAGTCGCACTCGCACTCGCATTCGCATTCGTAGCCAGACTCGAACTCGCTGCAACTTTCCGTATAAGTCAACAGCTACTCACATCTACTTATACTGGGATATTTATGCGGAGTAGCGCGACGTAGCTGGGATATTTCAAATTTCCCTTAGTAGGTGGCTCGCTCAGTGCCTGAAAGGGCTCTTGCCATATTTAAGCGCGTAGAAGCGCATAGAGATCTATAATTATTAAAAGAAAAACTATTCAGGATTAAATAGTTAAATAGCTGAGCGCACAGAAGCTGAAAGATCTGTTATGGACAGAAACAGTTCTTCTTTTGTCAGTTTTAACAAATTTTTGATTTCGAAGCTCTTCTTATGGCAGCTGTATGATGCACTTTACAATGCTCATTAATGACTATATCCCTCAAAATATATTTACAAACACAAAAGCTATCCCAGTACAGCACAGAAGCTGAAAGATCTGTTATAGACAGAAATAGTTCTTCTTTTCTCAGAAAGCAGCTCAGTTTTTAAATAAAAAGCAATTTCATTTCTATGTAATATGTTTTTTATGTTCTTTTGTTTATACAGATATGCTTATATTATCTTAAAACCTGTAATTATGGCAGCTATATAAAGTAACAGCTTTGATGATAAAATACTCATGAATGACAATATTTGTTGAAATATTTGAAATGTAGCAACATAAATGTCAGTTAATTTGAATTTATATTAAGAAACCCTGTCATGCTAAGTGTGAAATATATTGTAATCTATCGATAAGATGAGTGATATCGATAAATATCGCGCATTTCGCCTAATGAACTCAACCAATAAACACCTTTGCTCTTTTCATTCTAAGTAATAAATCCCAACAATATTCCCCAAATTATATTTATAACTAGTATACCCTTTGGGTACAGGGCATAAAAACAGCAGTTATCTCAATAAGGGTGCCTTTTGCACCAATCGGTCCTATGACAGCTATATAAAATGGTTCGCCTATATACAAGTATGTACATACAAGTATATGATTTGCAATAAACTTTCTTCACGTATGGATTTCACAAGTCAACATAAAAAGGTTGGTTTGTTTCGTTTTAGTTCAAGAGATAAACCAATTCATCGCGTCGTGCCGATCATATGTTTGGGTTCAGCCACGCCTTCTTCTATAACAGGCACATACATTTGGCACTTGGACTTTTAAGGCTTTTACACTTAATTGCGTTCACTTTAGTGAGTGTATTGCATTGACAATAGTGCAGATTATTTCTATAGATCAGCATTTATTACAATATTTTTGAGGCATAACATTTTAATTAATCGAAAAAAACTAAGTAAAGTTAGTTGATCATATATCGAATCAATTGAATTTGTTTATTTTGGTCAACACATTACGGTTTTTAGTTCGATTTTATTTAATAGAAAGTTCGTGCTGTTTGGCATTTGCGTTTGTTACCCTCTATTTTGTTTTTGAGGCACTCTTATATTAAAATACTGTTATGTCAACTCTTCTACGCGCCGTAGAGAGCTTCGGCACTGTCCTCGGCATCTGCTGCGGCCCCATCGGCATCATCGTCGCCTTCGTGAGGACTTCGGGCCGCACAGCTGGTGGCTCCCAACCGACGCCTGCGCGACAGCAGCGCCAATTTCAGCGAATTACAACGCTTGGCGCCACGTGCATGCTGTTAGCGGTGTTGTTTTCGTTGTTGTTGTTGCTGGTTCCGTTGCTACTACTTCCTATTGTTATTGTTTTTGTCTCTGCTTTTGCATGGTGGAGTGGGGCGCGGGGAACGGGAAATGGGGAGTTAGGAGTTGGACATGTGGCCTGGCAATCAGCGGCACTGTATTTTTATGCCATGTGCCTCCTTTTTTCTTTGTTTTTTTTTTTTTTTTTTTTTTTTTTTTGGTGGCTTGCCTCTGCCGCCGACTTTGTCGCCTCTGCTGCTGCTGCTTCTTATCAGCAGGAAGACGGTGGCATTGGCATAGGAAGCGGGCGCGAGTGCCCATCGGAGTCGTCGTTGCCATCGTTAGGGGCTCGGCGCTGGGGAGCTGGCGCTCGTAAATGCGCTCGTTCTCCTAACTAGTCATCGTAGTCATAGCCTGCTGGCATCCTCGTCCTCGTCCACGTTCACGTCCACGTTCAAGTTCTCGGAGTCGTCGTCGTCGTCGCCATCGTCGTCGCGCGTTGAGCAACTTTGATATAAATTCTTATTGGCGCATTACAAATTGTCGTCTTGCTGTGCCGATGGGTGGGTGTGTGTGTGTCTGTGTGTGTGTGTGTGTGGGTGCCACATAATGTAATCAGTCACATTACATAAACATTTTCATTTTCATTTACATGCACACACATAACTACACACGCACACACACACATCCACACACATCCAGACACATCCACATACATCCAGACACATCCACATACAGCACATATGAAAATCTGCGTTTATTATCTGACATTTTATTTCGCGCATATTTTCGGTAATTAGATTTTCACTTCATTTGCATACAAATGAGAAGTTTTGTGATGTGACAAACGCCCCTCGTTGTTATTCTCATATTGTTTTCTGGCAGAGCGCTCTGTTTGCATTGTCTTTGCATTCTTTTCGCTTGTCGCACTGCCCCAAGTCTCAGCAAATCTCAGCAAATCTCAGGCAGCCAGCCAGTCAGCCAAGCTGACACACAAGTCCACACACACACACACACACACACACACACACACACACACACACACACACACACACACACACACATACACGCATTCCAATGTCCTGATAAGGAGATTACACAGTTTTCATTTTAGCTTCCCACTACAGCTTAATATATCATCTCACTAAGCTAATTCGTTTCATATGTAAACAGCCGGCATTTTCTTAAGGCCTGCATTATTAAATCGAAGCCCAAGATTAATCAAAGCGAGCACCCAACCATCCAACCATCCAACCAACTTACTAAAGAAATACAGCAAAGACATTTCACGCTTTCGGTTATTTAGAGATGGGCGCAGAGTGCTTGGTAATATCGCGGAATTTCTATTAATATAAGGTTATGGTTTGTTTCAAGCTCCAATGGAGGCTATATTTTTTCATAAAACTGTTCAAAGCCCATAAATAATATCATTTGTTGAGTTCGTTCAGGTCTGAATTTCACAATATACATTTTCGAGCATTTAGATGTATTTATGGAGAACAATTTTAAATAAAAACAATGAGTGAGAATAAAAACAATGAATGAATACCTTTTTTTATTAGATATTTTATGGACGATATCCCCTTTTCTCTTTTATTTTTCTCTTTAAGCTTAGCTATTAAGTGGAATAAATTTTCCTCATCTACTTACTCTTTTTTTTAGTTTGTTAGATCAATTACTTGTATGTCTCTTACCACGTATGGCTGTGAATCGGGGCATAGCTGGCCAAATGGCAAATGAAATTCCCCCAACGTGTCGGAGGCATAAATAGACGTTATTTTACAGTTTTTACTTAGACTTTCTTATCCTTTGAAGTTGAAATTATAACGTAATATTATTATATATGTTTATTTTAA